ATAAGACATGCATGATTGTATCTTATATCCTTCTTTTTTTAATATCAAAATCCATGCCCGAGCCTAACTCACCAGGCTAAAGATAGGATGGTCTAAGCTACACAAGCTACTCATTGATCAAATGAGAATGTACCACATGGCAACCGAACACAAGATTCCTCAACATAACTTTTCAGAAAAGCCCAACCAAGTCATGTGAACACATTTTTCCAAACAATAATAAATCTAAATGAGTTATATCATGCTTCCAAACAATGAGTTACATACTAACATAATTTTATACAATTATCTTACTTGGCAAAACAAATTTCCAAACAATCAATATGCATGTTATAACATACTTGCTAAACAACATTTCATTTTAATAAAACACACATAACCAATCACAAAACATACACCACAACATAGGGACGGATCTACATAGATGGTAGAGGGGGCAGCTGCCCCCACTGAAAAATTATTTTTCTTTTAGAAAATATAGGTAGTATATGTATCCTATACCCCTATTTAATAGATATTAATTGCCTTCGGTGATTAATAATATTACTCTCTTATGCCATTCAACTTTTTTTTTATTATTTTTGTACTCCTAATTTTCAAGGCCCACATAAAAATATCACATATTTTATATCCATTATTTTAGTTCTACCTTTTTTTAAAATTAAAACTGATTTTCCACATAGTTTCCCTCCTAGGCTTCAGCAACAAAAACAAAATCCGTAAATTCCAAAAAGCAAAGTCATTTTTCACCGTGCCATTCGACCCGTGCTGTGCTGCTCTGTGAGTCTGCGACTCCATCTTTGCCACCCTTGCCTAAGCCTCCATGGGTGACTGGGTCTCTATCGAACTGCCTCTCTGGTTTTGCGTTCAGGTTTCCGGTAGAGTACCTTATACCCAAGCTTTACTTCTTCAATCTTCACTCAACTCATTTGATTGATGGAATATGAATGATGATCTTGATCTGGTTTCGTGTCTTGCCTGTTTGTGGAAATTGGAATGAATAAATGAAAGTGGAAGAGAATAAAAGAATTAAAAAAATAGACATGTGATTTTTGCTTCAGATGCAATTGCGCAAGTACAACAGTAAGGGCTATCTTTTGCGACCACCATTTTTTTATTAGTCCATTGAAATGCTGAAATGGTCAAATGGATAATGCTTTTATTCAATTATTTGTTTATGCAGAACAGTGAGCAACTGAGCACAGTCATGAACAACACTATACATATATTTATTTTTATTTTTTTATTTTATATTTATTTGTTTATGTCATATTGTCATTATAATAATTTATTTAGATTTGAAATGAAATTTGGATTTTGTAGGCTTCTTACAATGGAAAAAATTTTGAAAAGAAAAGCAACCTCATCATAACAACAATCTTCTCAAGCTCATGATGAATGTAGAGTTAGAACATTAGATCTAAAATTTTTGGAATTTGACTTAGAAAAGCTTTTTAGTGATCCTGAATTGAGAAAAAAAATGTCCTTTTATCATCCAAATGATAGAGACAAAATTATAAGATATTATTTGCAAAGGGTTCTTGTCAACCAAAAAAGATTAATTTTCCTCAAAGACAATTTAGGAATACCTTTCGTAGATTTAATCAAGACTGATATTCAAAATATGACAATTAGTTACAATATAGTCAAATTAAAGGAAGATGTTGCTTATTGCTTATGTTGTTATCTTATGAGAGTTGATGTTGGACAGTACAAAGGTAGTGGTGAAGCATTTTTAACAAAAGGGTTCACAAATTGAAAAAAAACTTGACAGGTTTCAATTTCATACTGTTCATCTGAATAGTTTTCATAATAAAACTTGGAGAAATTGTGAAGTTCTAGTGAAACAAAAGAAACATATTGACATTTCTATAAGTAGGCAGTCTAATCATATGAAAGAGGACTATCAAACTCATTTAACTGCAATAATTGATTGTATTCGGTTTTTATTACGTCAAGGATTAGCTTTTTGAGATAATGATGAGTCATCATCTTCCAATAATTAAGGGAACTTTCTTGAGTTTGTAGATTTTCTTGCTGATCGTAATGTGACTATTCACAAAGTTTTGACAAAGGGTCATGAAAATATCAAATTAACAGCTCCTAAAATACAAGCTGATGTCATTAAAGTTACTGCTATTGAAACTACTAAAGTTATAATTGATGATCTGGGAGATAAGTTATTTGTAGTTTTGATTGATGAATCTCGAGATGTCTCAGTTAAGAACAAATAGCCACAGCTTTGTATTATGTGAATAAGAAAAGGAAAGTTATGGAGTGCTTCCTCTGTCTTGTTCAAATTTCTAATACTTCATTACTAAATTAAACTAGAATCAAGCTTCTTCCACGTGTAATAAAATTAAGCTTTTACTTCATTAGCATCATCCTTCGGATTGTCTTCAAATAAGAACTCTTTGAACCTCTTCTTCTGAAGTTGATACTGAGAACAAAGACAAGTAGATTTGAGAGATTAACGTGTTGTTGGTCTCACAAGTCTGAAAATAAGTAGTGTTTGGTCAAACTTGATAGGAAGGTTTTGGATAGTCTATTTTTTATAGTATATGTTATCCAATGCTCATTGAAAAATAGTTCCCGTGGAGTGCCATGTGCCATTATGGGCCCACATAATATCATCGACTAAAGTTAACAATGGACTATTGAATGTTCCTTTTTTGAAAGTTGAGGATTCATTTTACACCACTTAATAGTTTAAGCCACTAGATGCTTATGGAAAAATAGTACGTGGCTAAATTTGCTATTTTATTCAAAAATAAACAGTCAATTGATAGGAGGAGATTTTTTTTTCTCCCTTAAAAAATAGTTCAGGGAGAAATATCCCCACTTAAGAGTACAAGGTGCCTAGCACTCCTAAAACAAAGTACAAAGATAAAATTAAACATTAACCTTATAATATATATTATATATATATATATTGGAGCACGTTCCATGCTCATCAATGGTGATACTCATCACCTCTGAATTAATTTAGACCATCTTGATTAAACTACTTTTTTATTTTTTGTATTTTTAAAATAAAAATTTAAATAAATATATTTATTATCAACATATACCATTCATATTTAATTAGATTAGTCTAAATTTAATATTAATTTTTTATAATTTTTATAAATTGACCATACATATTTATTTTGTACTGTTTGAATTCAAAATTTTTATTTTATTAAACTATCCTATTTAAAACAATTCAAAGAAAATCTATATGGTTAATTTATTAAAATTATAAAAAATAATATTGAATTTAGATTGACCTAATTAAATATGAACTGCACATATTGATAATTAATAAATTTATTAAATTTTATAAACTTTTTATTTTAAAAAATAAAAAAGTAGTTAAATCTAATATGGACGGTCTAAATTGTTTCAAAATGAGTGATGAGCAATGAACATGATGTGGAAGATTATTTTGATCGAGTGGGGTGGAATTGTTTTTGGAGGAGGGGGTCAAATCAATTAACAACGTGGAGAGCGTGAGCCATGAGGGTAACGGGTGAGGGGAGGGCTAAGGGCACCCCCAGGCAATAGTTGTGGTTCTTGCCCTGCTCATGCATATGTTGAAGCTTGGATTAACAATTGGTTTTCATGTATGATATATTATTGGAAATTGTTTAAAGTAAAGATAACAGTGAGTGTGAATAGGAAAAAACTAAAGCTATCGTTAACATGCTACACTCAAAATTGAAGAATAATTTAAGAGAATAAAGACATACAAGTTTGGATATATCACAACCTTCAACTTCTTAGATAAAATATCTTTAGTCTATAAATTTTTATATTAAACTCATTTATTTAGATATATAGTATTGATTAGTATTTGAAAACAAGAACATGTATTTCAAGATTTAAAAGTGGGATATAAAAATATGAAATTATGTTTTGAAACGTTTGGTCAATAATCATATCATCTCACATATATGAAAATCTTTTTATTTAAAGTTTAAATCGCTTAAAAATTGACTCCATTATATTTTCAAAAATGTTATATTTTCTGAAAATAAAGTTAAGGAAAAAAGTTGTAAGCACTTGAAATTTAAGCTTCGAGATATAAATTCTGCAAAAATTCAGTTTTGAGCGATAATAACATCACTGATAACAACTCAGTCAATACAAATGATTTTTATGTGAAATACATCTTATTTGAAAGTAAATTCCAACATAGAATATTAAAGAAAATATAGTGTTTTTAAAACCGAATCAGACTAGACAGTCGGATTGGTCTGGCTGTCGACCGGTCTAAATTCTGGTTTGGTTCATATAAAAAAACCGTTTTAGGGGTTGAGTTGGGTTGGGGCCGTTTCGAACTAACAGTCAGACCAGGAATCAAAATCAAGCCAAAAATTGGATCCAATTTTTAAAAAACCGGACTATTCAAATTTTTTTTTATTTTTTATCAAATTTTTTTAAGAAAATGACTAATTTTTTTAATCATTTAATATTATATTGTATCATATGGCTTGTTAAGTCATGATAAAATTAAAATATTTGGTTTTTTAAAGTTAAGTAATAATTTCATATATATTTTTTATATTTAAATTATTATATACATATATAATTTTTTTAATTTAATTATTACGTCACAGGTTTAACCATTAACCCAACCCGATTGAACTATACAAACCATGAATCACTGACTTTTCCGGTTCAATATTCAATCGATTCTAAAAACATTGAAAAAAACATCATAATTGTTTAAAGTTAAATAGTGAGATAAAAATTCCACACAATTTTTAATTTTCACTTTTAATCACTCTTTTGATCACTCCTCATAAAGCAAGTTGCATTGTGATGTAAAAAATATTTTACTAAAAAACTAAATTTTAAAATATTTCTAATAATATATAATTTATTAAATTTAGAATTACATTAAGACAGTTATAGACTTGAAAAAATTTTCATTGAAAACTTGGTCAATACATGTCAACTATTCATTCCTAATGTTAGTCTTCGTAATTTTCCTTTGCGGTAAAATCTATCTCTACTAAACACAATAAATCAACTCTACCATGATAGATAATTACATAGACATAATCTAGTCAGCACCTTGTGCAACTGCACATTGAAAGTGAATTTTTAGATGCCATTATCTGTAAAACCAGCACTAGAATTGATCCTTCCATATTCCTAGCCATTTCTTCTCTTAAAACAGCAACAAATATGACACAAATATGAAAGATCAAAGACATAGGCTTGATTTTCACAAAGGAAAAAAAAAAAAAAAAAAAACAGAACGAAGCACAGTCAATTGTGAAGTATGATCTATATACAACAAATCCAATATTTCCTTCCAAGAGAGATGTGAGTCTACATCCGTACTTGGACTCAGGATCTTCAACAACATATTGGCTCATGGTATGAGCACAATAGAACCTGAAGTCTTCCTATTTTCCAGGTCTGCATGAGCTTTGGCTGCCTCAGATAATGAGTATTTGTGATTGACTCTCACTTTCAAGAAGCCGGAAGCGACCTTAGCAAAAACCTCTCCGGAAGCCTCCAGCAGCTCATCCCGAGTTACGACATAATGCATTAGGGTTGGCCGGGTCAAGAAGACGGAGTTTGTAGCCAGTGCAGATAACGGGACCGGGTCAGGTGTGCCTGAGGACTGCCCAAAACTTACCATGTATCCTCTGAGCTTTAAGCATGCCAGTGATCCCTTTAAAGCAAAACAACCCACTTTAATCAGGAATTTACTCATGACACTGTCATACTAGGGGAGAAATAGGACTTGGATTCCCTCTGCTGATGGAATCCAGAGAAGCAATGGAATATGGACAGTCCAGCTTCAAAATTTTTAATTTTTTTTATATCTATTAAAGCATTATAAAGCAATAGAATTTTTTCATAAATCTGTTTGATCACCAACCTGAACCTTGGATAGTTCAAATTTAGCGTTAAAATTTTTATAAATTGACTATTTAGATTTACTTTGATCAATTTAAATGTAAAATTTCTAACTTATATTTTTTTAAAAAAATAATTTTTGGAAAGTGAATGTTAGAGGAATATCTTTATTTTTAATATTGTATTCACAAAATAAAAATTTATAAAAAAATTTAACATTAAATTTTCACTATCCAAAATATATCTGGATATTAATTCATAAAAATTATAAAAAAAATTAATATTAAATTCAATTGTCCAAATTAAATCTAAACTGCCCAGGTTCGTGATCAAGTAGAATTATTAAATTTTTTTCAATAATTTTAATAATTTTAAAATAAATATAAAAAAAATAAAAGTTTTAAATTTCGACCGTCCAAATTCCAAGCATCCCTCAACAAAGAGGGTGGAGGGATTCTCTCAGTGGAGGGAATCCAAGTCCCAAAAAAAAAAAAAAAAACAATATAACCTTCAATTCTTGGTCATTTGCAAGCATCTCCCTAATCTTTAAACACAACACTACCATTCTGGTGGGGGGGGGGGGCACACAACACTACCAGAATAGGATTCTTCCTTACAAAAACATCATACAATGCACAACACTAACAATATTGTTGCAAGTGTTTTGCATTGTATCTTTTCCTACACATCACTTTTCTACTCAACTAGGCAGATAACCAATATTGAAATTTCATTGGGATTGACAGCGAAATAAGTTTCCTGGTATTACCTCAAAGGTGTCCTTTCCAACAGAATCATAAACTACATCAACTCCATCGCCTGAAGTGATATCATTAACACGGGCAACAAAATCCTCTTCAGTATAGATGATCACATGATGGCATCCATCCTCCTTGGCTTGAGCTGCTTTCTCTTCGGTTGATACAGTTCCAATAACAGTTGCACCAAGAGCATTTGCCCACTGGCACAATAGGGATCCAACTCCACCAGCTGCTGCATGGACAAGAATTGTGTGACCAGGTTCAACCTGCAACAAAATTTGGCCATGTCAATGTTTGTGTCTATTATCATCAATGTTATCAGAATTGGGTCGGGCATTGAACCAATCAACGTATTGGTTTATTGAACCATGGTTGGACTGAACAGTCTCAAAAGATAATGCATGAAAAATATTTTTTTTATCAATATGTACCTATATTCTCATCATAGATATCAAATTTATTGTCAATTGCATCAACATTATAATAAAACTATTTATTACCAATTACAAATAATCAAAATCATCAAGTATGCCACAATAATTGTCTAATCATAACATAAGCTTTTATTATTAACAAAAATCATTAAGAAATTATCAAATATACATATAACACAAGAAAAACTAACCACAACACAAATAAAAATACAACAACAACAACAACAACAAGCCTTTATCCCACTAGGTGGGGTCGGCTACATGGATTGCAAGACACCATTGTGTTCTATCATTTATCAAGCTTTTAGGAATATTATTAATTAAGAGATCGCGTTCAACAATTTCCAAGAGTGTTCTCTTTGGCCTTCCTCTACCTCTCTTAATCGGACTCAAAGTTATATGTTCCACTCTTCTCACAAATAAAAATACAAAATAACAAAATTTTAGTTTACAAAAGACTAGAAAAAAAAAAGAGTTCTTGACCCATTCACTTCTTGTTGGTTCTGGGAGGTTGAACAGGCCAGACCATAGGCCAGTTCCCGACCAAGTCAGTCCGGTTCTAACAACAGTGATTATCATCATTCATGCTGGGGCAAAGTTATAAACAAATATGCCTTGGCTGTTGAATAAAAGCAGGCCTCTTAGTAACAAGACACTATGGCCAGATATGTTGGTAGCAAAAATATAGAGAGAATAGCAATAATCTTACCAGGTAATTTAGTTCAAGTCATCACAACGAACAAGGGAATCAGTCAGAGAAGTTTATGAATATTTTTTGAGTAAATTAGTGATGAAGCTCTTGCAAAATTACTTTTTCCCCCAATTTAATCTTCCCAAGAGGCCAAGACAAACCCTCTCCAGTTAGTCCCTGAAGTTATCACTTTCCCCCAAATTTAGCTGAAGAATATTTCAAGCACTAGACCGATCAAAAGGCTTGAACTTTCTGGGGCCAAATTGAGAGGAGGGTGCTCTCTCCAAAACTAGATCATTTACTCTTTCTTTTTTTATGAATAATTTACTTTTATTGTTTCCCTGTTTTCTTCTATAACAGTAGTGGATGAATATCTAATATATTTTTAACTAGTGTTTTTGGCATACCAACCTGTAAATCGGGATGGTTGTTAAACACTTTAAAAAAGAGACATAGGGCACAAAAACTAGATGTTCCCTATGCAAACAACAACAACAACAACAAGCCTTTATCCCACTAGGTGGGGTCGGCTACATGGATTGCAAGACGCCATTGTGCTCTATCATTTATTAAGCTTTTAGAAATATTATTAATTAAGAGATCACGTTCAACAACTTCCAAGAGTGTTCTCTTAGGCCTTCCTCTACCTCTCTTAATCGGACTCAAAGTTATATGTTCCACTCTTCTCACTGGTGCCTCCCTTGGTCTTCTTTGTACATGCCCAAACCATCTCAACCGATTTTCTACCATTTTTTCCTCAATAGGTGCCACCCTCACTTTTTCACGTATGTGCTCATTTCGAATTTTATCTTTACGTGTATGTCCGCACATCCATCGTAACATTCTCATCTCTGCTACTCCAACTTTATGCTCTTGCTGTCCCGTTATAGCCCAGCATTCACTACTATATAACATTGCCGGTCTGATAGCAGTACGATAAAACTTTCCTTTAAGTTTATTAGGCACCCTACGGTCACAAATAACTCCTTTAGCTTTTCTCCAATTAAACCACCCAGCTTGAATTCTATGTGAAATATCTCCACTGATTTCGCCATCATTTTGAATAATGGCTCCCAAATATCTAAACTTTTCCACTTGAGGTATAATTTGATCTCCCAATTTCACTTCGAAATTATTTTCGAATAGTCCTTTACCAAATTTACAATATAAATGTTCCCTATGCAAGTTGATGACAAAATCTATGTATACTGTAATAATAAATTTAACCATTGACTTATACAAGTGTACCTGTGGATTAAGGAAAGATTTATGTTACAAACATAAAACCTATGGAGAAAAATAGTTTAACAGAATAGTGTTTTTAAGAAAATTATAGTACTTAGTTAAAATATTAAAATCCATTGTATATCAAGCATGGCTTCCAATATCACTGACAATAACAGGTTCAATATTTGACAGCATTGGTTATGTTTTGAGTAATTAAAACACTGGCAATAAAAGGGGTTGTGAAATCATACTTCGATTACTTTGAAAATATTTAATTTAGAAGGCATAGAGGACCTGAAGAAGTTCAGCCTGCTAAACTATGCATGGAAAATATGAAAACCAAAACAATAAATATGTCAATAAAAGATTGGTATTATCAATTGGCTTCGTGAAGACATTTTTATCGATCTATCACTTGAAATCTTGATACTGATCCTAATTAATCATTACAGAAATAGTAGAATGATACTACACAATCTTTGAAGAAGCTAATAGACAAAAAAAATCTGAATGAGATTAGAACAAAATGAAGTTTTACTAGTCATAGATTACTTTGAAAATATTCATCTTAGAAGACACAGATGAAAAGCAGAAGCTCAGTGTACCAAACTATGCATGGGAAATCTGAAAATATTAAAACAATAATTGTTTAAGAAAAAACACCAACATTGATATTGTTCCTAATTAATCAATCTACAAATAGTAGAATGATAATACACAAGCTTTCAAGAAGCTAACTAATAACAAAACAAAACAAAAAAAGTAGAGTGAGATTAGAGCAAAATGGTCTTACTCTAAGGGTTCATTTGTTTTTCAAAGAAAAAAATAACGCTAAAAGGAAAAGTATATGCTTAAGCTATAATCTAATTAAATAACGTATAAACAAACCCCGAAACTCAGACAAAGAAAGAAAAAGAATTAGAGAGCAATTTCACCCTTAAACTATAAATTTATGAGCATCTGAAACCCCAAACTCAATTTTTCTAGAATATACCCTTTCTACTTTTAGGAACAGTACAATGTCACCCCTACTATTAAAAAAGTTAACTTTGACTATTAGTTAACCAGAAAATTATAGAAAATAACTCCCAAAAAAATTATAGAAAAGGACCCAAAAATTAAGGTAAAAAAAAAAACAAATTCCTCAATCCTTTTCTGTATTTGTTTAATCAACTAGCATTTAAAATTTGTTAACGGTAGATATAATATTACATCATTTTCAAAAGTTAAAGAGAAACATTACATCAAAAATGAATTTAGAGTTTTAGACACTCATGAACCTATAGCTTAGAGACAAATTTATTATTTAACCAAAAGAAAAACAACCTTGAAACAATGTCTTGAAGCTCAGACCAAGAAGGAAAAACAACCTTGAAACAACGCCGGAGTAAAAACTGAACTGTCATGCCCTTTGATAAGATAGATGCCCCAATAACTGGGTCAATAGAGGGAGGAACAGGGACTATTTTATTTGCAGGAATAATCAGCTCTTCTGCATAAGAGCCTAGTGGTCGACCAGAACAAGCTACAATATCTCCAACCTGCCTATCAGTGAGCCCAGGACCAACAGCTGTCACAACACCAACAGCCTCCACACCTGCCATGTTAAAAATAGGGGCGAAAGTTAGTTTATCCACAATACTTTGGCCAAGCCTTCTATGCAAAGTTAAGATCTCCATCATCAAGGGCTGTTCAAACAAAGCCAATATTCAAGTCTTAATTCAGTTCCATAATTGTTAAATCAAATAATATATAGATGATAGCTTCATCAAAGGAAAGTTAAGGATGCTTATTTCTTTTCTAAGTCTAGAGTTGATCATTCTTGTTATTGATCCCCAAAAGTAAAAATAGGAATGTCTCTGGGAAGGAATTAAGGACGTGATGAACAGCTGAGGCAGGCTTACAAACAGAATAGATTTTTTAGGCCACTCTAGCAAAATAACACTACTTGGCAATGACAACAAATGTTAATATAACATTTTGGTCAATGAGAGATGTGATGTGCTAAATCAGTAGTAAAAATGATATATTAAATTTTTTATCTTAAAAAGGTGGTGATTAAATGTCTTAGAACCATGTAATGAGTATAACTTTTATAGGCTTTATTTCTAATTGCTTAATCAGATGGAGAGAAAAAGAGAAGAAAATAGAATGCTTTCGAATGTTTTAGTGCCACTCATTAATTATAATAACAAATATGTACAATCAAAATGAAGGACAAACCTGGAGTGAAAGGCAAGGAGGGTGCTTTGTATACTCCTTTTCGAAAGTAGATATCAATAAAGTTAACCCCAATTGCTTTGTTCTTCACACGAACCTCACCTTCTTTTGGTTCTCCAATTTCCACATCCTCCCACTTCAAGACCTATCAAAGAAGTTATGCCTAAACCAATAAGATATTTGAGATATCAAGTAAATTAATAATTCAGCGAAGTAACAATCAAATTTCATAAATTGAGTTTTTCAAAATCATTGCCAAAATGAATGCCCTTCAATCAAATAATTCGCCATTGAAAAGAAGATATATTCACTACCATATCCGCCTGAGACTCTGAGAGGACAATTCATGAACAATGATAATAGCTTTGACCATTCATTATGCTGTGTGCAAAAGATGGAAAAAGAAAAGCATGGAACTGCTGATTACAACATTGTTATCAGAGCCAATATCGACATTGGAATTTAGTTAACTTCTCAATCGGGTTTGTCATAATCATCGCAAAATGAGTACCGAAAATACAATCACTGATTACAGACGATTAGGAAAACACAATCAAGAAGAAGAGAGAGAAAAAGAGAGAAACCTCATGTCCTCCCAGCTCGTGAACTCTAATAGCTTTAACCATTTTCGTTGATGAAAGTGAAGCTTCTGTGTTAAGGGTTCTAAGAGATGGTTTGATGGCAGAAAAAACTGATAAACCCAGAAGCCGAGAAGAATGGAAGTAGAGACTGCTCCAATGACTCAGATTCTGTGAAAGAATTTGGAACTTGGAACTTGGGAATCAATTATGAAGGTAAAGTTCGATGGAGAAGTGGAAGGGACAGTGACATCAGTCGGGAGTGTTCTGGTGGAGCCATTTAATTAGCACGTTTAATTTTTTTAGTATTTATTTAAATTTAAATTATATCCATATATCTAATTATCTATCTACACCCGTGTGTTTAATTTTTATACATAAAAAGGCAATTACAAACGGAAGCTTAACAAGTGAAAAGTTAAAAAAGAAAGAATAAAAAGAAAAATAGCCTTATTATCATCATCAAGTATCAACTAATTAATTAACTTTCAATCAATCAACTATTAACTATTAATTAACTAGTAACTATTACCGATTAACTATTAATAACTAATTAATAATTAATAACTATAACTATGACTAAATAACTAATATATACAAATCAGGAAGAAAAGCATTCTGATTAGTCAATTTATTTTTCTCTCATTGGTCCGAAGTTAATTCTCCCTACTCATTGGTTGATACATCTTTTGGATAGCAAATTTTGTATTTTCATTGGTTGCTTCAAATGCCTTCGTTCGGTTTTCCATTCAATCAATTTGTGTTTACATTTTTTCAAATTTGAATTCAATTATCTTGAATTCCTAATCGTACCAGCAGTAATTGTTTTCTCGTTCGTCTTTGACTCTCTGTTCTGATGATATCCATTGTTATTCTTCATTTGAACTTCTGTCCATTTTATGCCAATAATCTATTGTTTCTTGGTGACCAATGAGTCTTTTTTGTCCTTTTTCGCTTTTTTTTTTTTTTAAACGCTCTCTTTGGTTATACTAATGCTTTTATTCATATCACTTCCCCCGTCTTTATGTTATCTAGGCTTTTGTCTTCCTCTCAATCCTCTACATTTCTCCGTCAACGGGTTCTTCCTTCGCTATTTCTCTTTTGTTCTTTTTTTCTATGTATCATTTATTCTGTGCTCTTCGCTTCTGTATTTTCTTCATCCTTTATTCTCATATTTTGCTTTGTCTATCTTGTTATTATTTCTACAAATGGACCCCAAACGTTTGACACCTATCAGGGAACTTCTTATGGGTGAAGTACAAGTTGACACTCGCATTTGTCTTCTTTGTCTTTGTTGGGAAGGTGATCTTGGTTTCTTTGTGATAAAGAGGCTCATATTCTTTTTCCCAGTATTGTTAAAACCGGACCAAACTAGACAGTCCGACTGTCACCCCCTGAATAAAGCAGTTTGGTTCAACCAATTGAACTACTTAAGCTGTTGGATCGGATTGACCCGGATATAACCACCCGATTTTCATTGAACCAGAGTTGACTTAGAACCTGGAGCTAGTTCAATACGGGTCAACTCGGGTTAAGTAAAAAAAATTTTTTAAAAAAACTTAAGGCTCGTAACTCGTAAGACCCAAGAAAGAAGCACAGACCTAAGACCTCACCTCTGACCTCACTCCCACAGCTTGCCTGACCTCTCACTCTCACAACCTTAGAGCTCAGACTCGTCTCGTGCCTCTGGTCTCGCTCTCACCTCTCTCTGTTTCTCATCTCCAATCAACTGATCAAGACTTCAAATTTGAAATCTCACTCAAATCTCATATTGTACTTTGATTCTAATTCGTCCCCCTCTTGCATCTTGCTCGCCATTCTCAGCGTAGACCCAAATTCTGCATCACCATTCTTGCCATTCTCAAACTGCGAAGGCAAACTCAGATGACCTCAAGCCAATTCCAAAGGCTTGAGTTTCATGATGCCGTCGAGGTATTGAGCTCGTACCTCTGCCTTTGCCTCTAGTCGACTTGCCTCCAGCTCCTCCCAACTCCAGCTCATGCCTCTGCCTCTGCATAATTCTCATTTTGCTCTAACTTGTTTGATTCTTGGCATGCTCTGCTCTCTTTTTAGGTTCAATTTCTAGCTTCTATGTTCTATTTATGTATTTTAGTTTGTATAATGAGCAGTATGTATACACGATTTGTCCAGCCATTTATCTATGTAAGCTTGTTTGCTCTATTTTCTGTTACTTTATTATTTATTGATCTAGAATTCTAGATATGAGCTAATTATTCTGGATATGATCTAATTTCTAGCTCTGCTCTCTTTTTCATCTTTCATTTGTGCTTTCAATTTAAATTTAGAAAATGTCATCTAAACAAATATCTAATGCTGCATCTACACAATCTGTTAGAGCTAAGTCAGATCCTACATGAGAGCATTGCACTGAAATACCAAATGAAAAAGGTGGCAAACCTCGCTTAAGATGCCTATAATGTGGAAAGGAATTTGGTGGTGGTGGAATACAAAAAATGAAACAACACCTTGTTGGGAAAAAAGGAGATGCAACTAGTTGTAAAAGTGTGCCACATGATATTAAGCTATCAATTGGAGGCAAACTTGAAAGAAATTGATCAAAAAAGACCAGCTAAGAAATTGAGAAAACAAGAAGAAGACAATCCATTGGAAGTGGATGATGAAATTGTGTAAGAAATGATTCCTCCATGTTCATCTCAACTGGCCAAAAAAAAAGGCATCTACAGCTGGAGACAAATTCTTTACCCTAAGGATAACCCCAGGAGCACAGCCAAGAATTCAAAGTGCATTTGCAAGTAAAGAAGCTTTGCATAAAGCGGATTTAGTTGTGGTTAGGTGATTGTATGATTGTTGCATTCCTATGAATGCTGTAAAGTCTATTTATTATCAACCTATGATACATTCTATTTCAGCTATTGGCCTTAGTTATAAAGGACCAACTTACCATGCTATGAGAACAAAATTATTGCAAGACATGAAAAAGGAGTTGCAATTATTAGTTGACGAATATATAAAATTTTAGGCTAAGACTGGATATACAATAATAGCTGATGGTTAGCAAGATCAAAGACATAGACAGTTGATTAATTTTCATTAGATCTGTTGATGCATCAAATATTGTTAAGGATGCTCAAAATCTTTGCAACTTATTCATGGATATGGTTGCTTTTGCTGGTGTATATAATGTTATCCACTTGGTAACTGATAATGCAGCTAATTATAAAGCTACTGAAAGGTTGTTAAATGATAAGTTTCCTTCTATTTTCTAGTCTCCTTGTGCTGCCTATTACTTAAATTTGATTTTATCAAATATTGGCAAAATGAAGATTGTTAGTAGTTTAGTAAAACGTGCATCCATGGTTTCAAAATTCATTTACAACCATGTCTTTTTGCTAGATTGGTAAAGGAAAAGAGAAGGTTGGATAGAAATTATCCGCCCAGGAGCAACACAGTTTGCCACTATTTTTATTGCCTTGAAAAGTGTCTATGAACATAAGCATGATATTCAAGATTTGATAGCAAGCAAGACATTTGTAGAATCTAGATATTACAAGGATTCAAAGGCAAAAGATGTGACAATGATTGCATTGGACAATCAATTCTTGAATAATTGTAAAATTATTGTTGAAATTGTAAAACCACTTGTTAGATTGTTGAGACTTATTGATTCTGATGCCCGACCTTCACTTGGCTATGTTTATAATGGCATGTACAAAGTAAAAAGAGCTATAAAGAATACTTTGACGCATAAAAAATCTCTATACAAGCTTTACACAAGTATTATTAAGAGAAGGTGGGATTCTCAACTTTGACAAAATTTTCATATAGTAGCATATCTCTTCAATCTTGGTTTCCTTTATGATAAGGAAAATTTTTCTAGAAAGCTAGAGGTTATGCAAGGATATCTTAATGTGATAGATAGAAAAATCTCTTCTAATAAGACCAAGTTTTTGCTAGAAGGCACACAATACCAAGAAAGGTATATAAGCTTTAGTCATCCATTGGCTATAGAATCTGCAAAAACCAAGCGATCTGGTAAAATTTATACTTTTATCTTTGATATTTATTATTTTTATCTTTAAAATATATTCTAATGACTTAATTTTTATCATGATAGATGAATGGTGGAAACATTTTGAGAGCAATTTTCCAAATGTTAAAGACTTGTCTGTTAAGATACTAGGCCAAATTGCATCTTTATTGGGCTATGAAAGGAATTGGAGTGTCTTTGAAAGAATACACTCTAAGAAAAGGAATAAGTTGGAGCATGAAAGATTAAATGATCTTGTCTATATTCATTTATATTCATTACAATTTTCAATTAAGGAACAGGTAAATTATTTAAAATTTTGCTTTCATTTGTAGTTATAAAAAATAAGTCACATGAATCATTATGCTTTGTTACTATCATGTGTTTTTACTAGAGTTGATAGCAAGAAGAAAGTTTTGGACCCTGTTGATTATGAAAGGATTGATAAGATTGATTATTAGGTAATGGAAGAAGATGATTGTTCTTTACTTAATGTTGATGAGATAGAACAAGATCTCATTTATGATGACACAGTGCTACCAAAAGCTATCATTCCTCAAGAGGATGGGGAAGGTTTGGCCTTCTTTACTTAATGTTTTCACTTTTTTTATCACTTATCATGTGATTCTCATTAATTTGATTATATACATTAAATGTTTATTTGTGAAGATAATGAGCAAAGAGGCAATGTGGCAGATGGTGAAGCCATTGGTGGACTTGATTTACAATTATTTGCTCAAGAGGATGTTGATAGCTTTAGTGAAGATGCTAATGCTTTTGAGCCTGCACATGCTTGGATTAACCAAGATCCCCCAATATTTGATAAGCCATGAAAATTTAAACTTATGATGTTGTGAACTTTGCAATGATACATTTGAGACATATATTTTAGATTTGTGGTATCTTTGTTTGAGACTTTGAGAAATTAGAACATGTTTGAGACATATATTTTGAATTTGTGATGTTATTTTTTGAGATTTTGAGCCATTAGAACATGTTATACAATGTGGATTTGTGGTATTGCTTGATATATTATTGTTTTTTTTTGTCAAATTAATGTCTTGTTTATATATATATATGCATATAAATATTATTTTTTATTTAATTTTTATATCACTGATTCGACCATCGGTTTAACTAATTGAACTGTGAGAACCGTGACCTGCTGCTCTTTCCAGTTCGATGTCTGGTCCGAGTTCAAAAACATTTATTTTTCTTGCATCATGTTCATTATGT